CAGTGCCACTGGAGTGGGTGGTTAGAAGCGTGCCCTCCTGCCACCAGCTGCAACCTGCCTGTTGTGTCCCCACTCCCGAGTTACTTGGCAAGGAACAATTTCAGCAGTTACGAGTCTTTCTGAAAAGATTAACTCCAGCAACCTCTCACCCCCAAGCCTTTTCTGAGCCTGTTAACCTGTTGCTCTGATCCCCACTTGGTGTAATAATCCGAGACACTGCCTGGGGTCTAAAGTCAATGGCCCAGGGGCGGGTCACCCCCTCACAGTGCCAGCAGCTCGCAGTGGTGTGCAAGCCCACTGCTTCAGAAGCAGCCACCTAAACAAGGGGAGAAAGAAAAAGAAGCAAACAAAAAACTTGAAAGAGGAAAACCTCCTTAAAAAAACCTCTTTTGAGTTGCCTTGTCTGTTTTCATTTTTAAGAAGATATACTGTGAGCATGGCATTAGAGATGTTCTATGTCTCATCAAGTTTTCCCTTTGGAGAATGTTTCAGATTTTCTGAACAAGGTTGGCAAGCAAAGTTGCATGTTGTGTGTTCATTAGAAATCTGTCAAACAGAAGAAATATTCAGAAATGTTTCAGGCCAGAGGCCTCCCAAGTGATGTGCACATGCTGAAGGGATATACTAAGTGATCCAATGGTGAAAACCCAATCTTTTCATTGTTATTTTGTGTATTTTCTAATGTATATGATTTTCCTTTCCAAGCAAATATATTGCCTTTGTGTCTTAGTCTGTTTTGTGTTGCTATAAAGGAATACCTGAGCCTGGGTAATTTATAAAGAAAAGAAGTTTGTTCGCCATACGGTTCTGCAGGCTGTACCGGAAGCTCAGTGCGGGCACCTGCTCAGCTTCCAGTGAGGGCTTTTGCGCTGTGTCACAACAGGGACAAGGTCAAAGGGGAAGTGGGCACGTTCAAAGTGGGACCAAACATTATGACAGCCCAATCTCACAGGAATTACTCCATCCCCTACCCCTAACAAGTGCAATCTCGCGAGAGCGAGAGCTCGCTCTGGTGGGAAGGGCACCAAGCCGCGTGTGAGGGGTCCGCACCCATGACACAAACACCTCCCGCCAGGTCCCGCCTCCAGCACCACCACACTGGGGATCACATTTCAACACGAGTTTCGGTGGGGTCAAACAAGCCCTATCCAAAGCATGATGTGGTGCTCGTAGATAAAACCCAAACGTTCAGTTGTTTAACACAGGGGACGTTTGTGTCTCGGCGCACCCCCCACCCCCCATGGGGTGTTCCTGGGCGGTGCCTCCCATTGGCCGTGGAGGCCCAGGCTCCTCCCACCTTCTTCCTCCGTCGCATCCAGCTCCTCAGAGTCTCTCCTTTCAACCAAGTGTGGGGAAAGGAAATTTGGCATGCCAGCTACTTAACCATTTGGCCACACGTGACATGCGTTACTCACTTTTCATTAGCATGAAGTAGCTCCACCCAGATCCTGCATTGCAACAGCTTCCACCGCCACTGCCAGCTCGCCCCGGCTGCCTCGGCTGCAGCAGGACGCTAGCCTGTCTGCATGGGGCCGTGCAACTGGTTAAGGGCCATGCCATCAGAAACACTGGAGACTGGTGTTGAAGGGACTGCCAGATTTGGAGCTGCCAGGCCACAATTTGATCCTCCTTACCCAATGGTATGAACTTTGTAGTATTAACGACCGGGGACAAGACTCAGGTGGTTGGGACCATCCTCACTGCCACCAGCCCTCAGGACCAGGTGGGATCTGCAATGGCCATGTGTCCTGAGCCCACACAGCCCAGGATCCTCGGTACTGGGATGGACAGAGAGGGGTTTCAGCAGCTTTAACTCCTTAATCTCCACCGTGTCTCCAGACTGTCCCTGAGAGTGAGGAAGTTTTTCTGGGACTTTACCAGTTTTAGCACTTAAAGCTCCATGTCCCCCAAGAGTTCCCAGTTCCAGAAAAACCCAGATAGTTTACCTGGGACTATCCTGGTTTTAAAATGGGAGGTTCCACGTTCTGGAAACCTCGTCAGCTCAGAGGTGGCTGGTCCCCTACTATCCTTCCAGCAAAGCCTTTTCTGTCATTATCTCCTGTGTAGAGTTTGAGGCCCATGGTGACATCTGCTTATAACAAAGGATACGCTTCTCCCTAACCTTTTTATGAGAAGTTTCAATATCAAAAGAACACAGGGCTACTGTGCAAAGGGGGTTCTAACCAGGAAACAAGTAGACGTGACCCGTTGTCCAGGCATGGTGGCACACACCTGTAGTCCCAGCTACTTAGGAGGCTGAGGCAGGAGGATCGCTTGACTCCAGGAGTTTGAGGTTGCAGTGAGCTGTGATGACACCACTGCACTGTAGCCAGAGTGACAGAGCAAGACTCAAAAAAAAAAAGAGAGAGAAAAAAGAAAGAAAAAGTCCTAAACAAGCAGACTTTTATAAAGGATAAAGTGGGCTGCTTTTGAAGGTGCTCTAATAAAATCTCATCACAGCTAACTTTGAATTAAAATATGTTGTTCAAAAACTTAACCAATCTTTACATTTGGAATAATTTAAGGCGTATTCCAAAACTGAATAAACAATGGGACAACCGTGTTGTTTACAAAAAGGATCATATATAATTCCGACGAGTGTGGAAAGACTAGAGCTCTGCTGTTCTCTTTGACGTCATGGAAAACTGTTCTATGTACTGAGCCAAGGAAAAGGAAATGATGGGAAGCTGTTTATTTTTTACATAGCTGGGATAATTCTGGCCATACAAATTCATAAAGCATCTTTTCACTTAACCTATCATAGCTGCTTACAAATTTAAACAGACATTAATTAAAAGACAACCATCAGAAGCAAAGTCATGCCCAGGATGGGAAGCAGCAGAACGAAAAACCTCGGTGACTTCTTGGAGTACTAGAAAGCCGTGGCTGTGGTTTATGACAGTGTTGGCGTCAGGCTCTAGACAAGACATGCCTTGGGTCCTTAGGTGGCCTGTTAGGCCTTAATGACAACAGTCAGAAAAGGAAGAAGAAACACATTTTTGTGTTCGCATCATCCATTGCTCACTTTCCAGGGGACTGGTGGCCACTCTCCTGGCCCTTGAATATCTGTGCGGGTGGCCTCACTATTGTCTTGCTGATGGGGTTAAAATTTTCCACTTGTGTCTTAGTACTCTGCATACTCTACATCCGCCATGGTCTTTATATGAACATCAAGTTTGTTAATTATGCATTTTTTCTTACCCAGCTTTAAGAGACAGTTGAGTTATTATTGGGGAGCTTTGTCCCATATAGAGACAAAGCATAAGCTAATAAGCTAATAAGGTTGAGCTGACCTATCCACAGTTTCTTGCGGAATTATGGAGAACGAGGAAAGAAGTACGCTTTGCAATCATGCTTTCTTTTCTTCATTAAGAAAAAAAAATCACTCATGGTGACTTGGGCCAAAAGACCCAGGTCTTCGATAACCAGCATCAACTGTTTCTGGGTCAATTGCCTCATAATCTTAATTAAGTATTCAAGCTTTAAGGTTTATTTAAGGAAGGATGTGGGATCATTTATAATCTTACAGGTTATGACTCTTCCACCAGGATCTACTGAAGACCTCATTACAAATTACATTGAAGTTCTTTCTGGGGAGATATTGTCAGCAAGAGTTTAGTCAACCTACCCAAGATCACTTGGGGGTGTAGCTCAGGAAAGAGGATGAATATATAATTCATCTTCTTTTCTCTTTGCTAGGTGTAGATGAATTAATTATAGTTCTTAGAGAACTATTCTCTTTTGCTTAAAATAGTATCATATTTTCTGTCCAAATCTTGTATGAATAGAGGCAATTTGGCTTAACAGTAGGACAGGGCTTTGGAATCTGAAGATGGACACTGTCTACGTTTGATTCTCTGCAATGTATCAGTCAGGCTTAACTTTCTGGCCTTAGTTTCTTCCTCCATAAAATGGAAATGAAATATTTTTATTCATTTACTTCAGGAGGTTTTAGGGAAATTATTATTATTATTATTATTATTGTTATTGAGACAGAGTCTCGCTGTGTTGCTCGGGCTAGAGTGCCGTGGCATCAGCCTAGCTCACAGCAACCTCAAACTCCTGCCTCAGCCTCCTGAGTAGCTGGGACTACAGGCATGCGCCACCATGCCCAGCTAATTTTTTCTATATATTTTTAGTTGGCCAATTAATTTCTTTCTATTTTTTGTAGAGACAGGCTCTCGCTCTTGCTCAGGCTGGTCTCGAACTCTTGACCTCGAGCGATCTTCCTGCCTCAGCCTCCCAGAGTGCTAGGATTACAGGCGTGAGCCACTGCACCCTGCCTAGGGAAATTATTTAAAGATGATTTTTTAAAAATTATTTTAATTTCTTTAGAGATGGGATCTTGATCTGTCACCCAGGCTGGAGTGTATTGGCACAATCAGAGCTCGTTATAACCTTGAATCCCCTCCTACCTCAGCCTCCTGGGTAGGTAGGACTACAGGTGAGCCAGCCTACCCAGCTAATTAAAAATACATTTTTTTTTTAGAGACGGGGTCTTACTATATTGTCCAGGTTGGTCTCGAACTCCTGGCCTCAAGAGATCCTCCTGCCTCAGCCTGCCAAAGTGCTGGGGTTACAGGTGCCAGCCACCACTCAGCTGACCATTTTTAAATATTTCGAGTAACTCAAGTAGAAGGCATTAGATGAGAGGGAATTTTTTTTAGAAGAAATCTGTTTACTATAAATTGAGTAATATCTTAAGTTCTTTAGATAAGATACAGAGGAGTTCCTTAGACCTGTCTTTTGGAACAGAGCTACAACTCACTTCCACTACTGGCAACTTACAGGTAGGAGAATAACTCCCGACCCTGCTTTGAGGTTTAAACAAGGTTTGAGTCCCACTCATTTTAAATGTAAGGATCACTTAAGCTCGTTATGTAAGTTCTTATATTATTTTTGTTCAGATAGACTGTATATTTACCTCCAGATGAAAAATCAATACTTTAGTGTATAGTTTTTCTCATAAAAATAACTCATGTCCTTATTTTTTCCTGCAGACAAAACTGTGTGGAGTTTTATCCCATATTCCTGATCACATTGTGGATGGCTGGATGGTATTTTAACCAAGGTAATTTTAAAATACAGTCAACTCTGTTCTAATGACGACTGTAGTGCTTTAAGCTACTAAGGAGCAGCTATACAACCATGCAGGTACTAACCTTGGAAACCATTTTAAACAAGATAATCAGCGTCTGTGTACATCAAAAAGTGCTGTGTTGCAGACATGCTAACTTTGGCTTCATTTCGATTTAATTTAATAATTTTCTTAAAAACTTGGAACCAACTATATGCCGGGCACTCAAGGAACAAAATGACATGAGCCTTGTCTACAAATATAATCTACAGTTGACCCTTGATTAATGCGGGGGTCAGGGGAGACAACCCCTCATGCAGTCAAAACTCCTCATAATCGCTTTTGCCTACTTCAGACTTAACTGTTAATGGCCTACTGCTGGTCTGAAACCTTAGCATAACATAAACAGTCGACTAGCACATATTGTGTATGTTATATGTAGCATATACTGTATTCTTACAATAAAGTAAACTTGAGAAAAGAAAATGCTATTAAGAAAATCATGGGCATTTATTGAAACCTTAAAATCTGTACCCCCATAATATGCCGAAATAAAAAAAAAAAATCATACAAGCATCTAGAAGCTAAGAAAAAAGAAAAAAATAAATAAAAATAAAAATAAAAAAAATCATAAGGAAGAGAAAATATATTTGCTATTCATTAAGTGGAAATGGGTCATCAAAAAAGTCTCCATCCTCCTTATCTTATCACGTTGAGCAGGCTGAGGGGAGGAGGAAGAAGAGGGTTGGTCTGGGTGTCTTGGGTGGCAGAAGCAAAAGAGGCAAAGGAGGTAGAAGGGGAGGCAGAAGAGGCAGGCACACGAGGTGGAACTTCGTGGAAATACATCACATTATAATTTACCCCTGACTTTTTTGCTTTTTCATTTCTCTAATGTTTCCATACAGTACCAATCCTTCTTCCACTATTTGCTCTAGTTTCAGTGCCCATATCATAGAAGGGTCCAGATCATAACAGAAGTCAAAAGCAGTTTGGAATAATCGAAACCCTTATGCTAGATCATCTAATGTCAGTTTGTCTCTGGCACTGCTTCTTCTACATCTTCTTCCTCATGGTCTAGCACTGGTTCAGAAGCTCTCAGCTCCATTAGGTCATCTTCTGTTCATTCCTCCAGGGTGGTGTCTATTAGCTCTTGAATTTCTCCAAGATCCACATCTTGAAACCCCTCACTCCTCACCTTGTTTTCCATATCCACAATCTCTTTCATGATTTCCTTGGTTGGCTCTGTCATAAAGCCTGTGAAGTCATACGCAACATCTGGACACAGTTTTCTCCAGCAAGAATTTATTATTTCAGGTTTGATGGCTTTCACAGCTTTTTCTAGAACAGTAGTGGCACCTTCCATGGTATAATCCTTCCAGACTTTCATGATCTTCTCTGTATGGGCGTTCTCTTCTGTAGTGTTGACAATCCTTTCTATAGGGTACCATATGTAATGAGCCTTGAAGGACATATGACTCCCTGATCTAGAGGATGAATTAGATGTCGTGCTTGGGGACAAGTAGACTACTTTGATGCCTTCAGTGTTGAAGTCATGGTTCCAGGTGGCCAAGGACATTGTCCAATATCAAAAGAACTTTAAAAGGCAGTCCTTCATTGGCAAGGGACTTCCTGACTTCAGGGACAAAGCATCGGTGGATCCAACCCAGAAAAAGGCTTCTCATTGTCTAGGCTTTCTTGTTATACAATCAGAAGACTTGCAGCTGGTGTTTACCTTTTCCCTTAGAGGCTTGGGAGTTAGTAGCTTTATAGATAAGGGCAGTCTTGATCATAAATCCAACTGCTTTTTTACAAAACAGCAGAGTTAGTTTATCTTTCCTGCCTGAAATCCTGGTGCTCACTTCTCTTCCTTCCTAATAAATGTCCTTTGTGGCATTTTTTCCCCTGAATAAGTTACTCTAATTTGCATTAAAAACCTATTTAGGCAGATATCCTTTATCCTCAATAATTTTCTTAATGGCATTTAGGAACTTGTCTGTTGCTTCTTGGTCAGCGGAAGACCAAGTGTCAAGATAGCTGCTTCTTCTGTTATCAAGATATTTTCAAAGCCAACTCTTTTTTTAAAACTATCAAACCATCCTTGGCTGGCATTAAATTCTCCAGCTTTAGATCTTTCACCTTTCTTTTGCCTTAAGTTGTCATATAGTAACTTGTGCTGTTTCTTGAATCATTATAGTCTATGGGTATGTCTTTCTTATAGCAATTCTTCACCCACATAAAAGCTGCATTTTCGATAGGAGATAAAAAGACATTTCACAACAAAGAACAGGGTTTCGGGGCCTGCTGATGTAGCTGCAGTGACAGCTTTACACATTTCCTTTTCTTTTCTTACAACGGTACTTACGCTGAATTCACTTATCTTGAAATGGCGGACAACCACAGCTGCTGACCTCAATTTATGGTACATATCAAGCAATTCAACCTTTTCTTGTAATGTCATGACTTTTCTCTGCTTGGGAGCACTTCCGAAATCACTAGTGGCACTGTGTATGGGACCCATGGTGTCAGTCAGGGCTTATGGTATTGCACTAATCCTGATGAAAAACAGGTGAGAGCCATGAGAAATCACTTTTAAAGAGATGTACAATTTATTGGCGAGATGAACCGGTCATACAGAGATGATGATGTCTGAAGTGGATATTCACAACACTTGAGCTCACAGCAATAGCAACAGGAGGTGGCTATGAAATTATTACAGCACTATAGTATGAACTACAGTTAATTTTATGCAGTTAGGATTTAACAGTACATCTATACATTTGCTCACATTTCTCTCAACTGTGAATGGTGCCATGCATGGTCTGTGTGAGTGTAAATTTTGATAAATTTTAACTTTTTATAAGATTTGTGTATATTTTATGGTGGTAAATGATGAAATACACAAGTATCTACATATATTTTATGCATTCATGGCATACCTTTTTCTTAATTTTTTTTCAATATTTCTAGGCCATGTGGTTCATTTGTGAGTTTTGTCAAATTGCTTCAAATCTCCAAAAAATTTTCCAGTATATTTATTGAAAAAATAATCCATGTATAAGTGGATCCATGCTGTTCAACCTTGTGTTGCTCAAGTGTCAACTGTAATTCTAATTTAACTAAAGAAACAGAACATAGAATTAACAATTTACCTTAATGATTATAGCTAGTATTTATTGAGCCCTTACTGTGTGCCAGGTACTGTTTTTAAGTTTTATATACATAGTGTCTCATGTATTGATTTACAGGACTTAAAACCTTCATATGAGGTAGAGTTTAACTCCTACTTTACTGGTGAGGAAACTGGGATACAGAGAGGTTAAGCAATTTGTTTAACTCGATATTTACCAATGGAGGGAAAATTTCCCTTTCAAGTACAGAGCAGGGTCCATAGATATTTATACCAACAACCCACGTACCTTTTCTCAAGGGTCCGCAAGGCTATAGCGCTACTGTTTGTACAAAGCAACCACAGATACCCACTTTCTGTTTGACTAGCGTATCCTTGGTGAGCTGAGGGCTTTCTCCAAACTCTGCCTGTTCATTTAATAGGAGTCAGGTCACCACCTGCTACCTCTGTTGGAGACATTCAGTCCCCTTTGCTTTCTGGTAGCTTTCATTGTCTCATCTGGGTCTGCACTTGATTGCTAAGATTTAAATAAACCAAATCCTAGCAGCTTTCAAAGGCAACCCCATCACTCTCTTTTTTGTCATTTTTTACTGTCAACTGACGGATTTCAGATAAAATGTCCTTTAGAGGAAGACTTCTTAGCTTTATTCCAACTCATACTTGTGTCCCTTAAGGGCATGAACGAAAGCGGCTGTTCCTTGTCGTGTAAGAGCACATTAACAGCTAATCAGAAAAGTGCCTTTTGATAACGGGACTCTGTCTCTGCCATTGACCCTTTGGGTGTCACCGTGACGGGCTGAATGAGGCCGACTGCCTGTCAGGGAAGGATTTCTTGGGTATCTTGTTAAAATTTTCTTTTCATTCTTTCTCATCCGGAGTCAGTCACCTATTAACTGCCCCTGAACCATTCTCTTTGGCTTTACAGGAGTGATTTGCTAGGGAATCTCCAACCTGAGAGAATACTCAGGATCTTTCCACCCCCTCAGTCGCCAGCGGGTTCTGCCACCTCTTCTTCCCCAGCTCTTTCTTGGCCCCCTCTTTCCCGCCTTTGAGGCCCCAAGGCAGACGCCAGCCCCTCTGCAACCTTCCCCTACGCCTTCCACAGGCAGCTTTCGAGCTCCTCTCTCTCCATCCCTCTTCATTTCCTCCACTGCACTTTCAAGTTTGGACTTTTCTTCTCATCTTCTGTTTGTTTGTTTGTTTTCTGTCTTTGCTGATAGAATATAAACTCTATAAAGTCAGGGAGCTTGTGTCTTTTTCACTGCTAACCCCAATCCTTAGAGTAATACCTGGTGTATAGTGGAACCCAAAAAACCGGTGTGACAAAATAAAACAGTAACTTTAATTTTATGCAGCATATCACAGTCCCACACATAGACTCCCAAGGTTTAGAAAAAGAAGGCTGTGGCATCTTGCAGCTGCTGAGGAAGAGTGTCCCTCACATAGGGAAGACATTGATATTTTTCAAGGCACGGGGGGGTGGAACATCATTATATTGTATTTTACATTTCTTTCTTTTGGGATAAAATTTACATATGGTGAAATGCATAAACCTTAAGTGTTCTCAAGAGTTTTGAGAAGGGTACACACCTGCATGACTCACTCCCTATTGAGATGTAGAACATGAGCACCACCCAGTCAGGCCCCATCCTCACTCCCAGATGCAAACACTTCTGGTTTTTTCATCATTTAGTTTTGCCTGTTCTAGAATTTCATGTGATTGGAGTCGTAGGTATCCCTGTGTAATGCTTCATTCACTCTCCAAAATCCTTTTGAAATTTCACCATGTTGTTATAAATGTGTTTCTTTTCATAGCTGAGTAGGATTTCATTGAATAGAATGTTACAGACTCTAGCATGGTGTGGTTATCCATCCTCCCATTGGGCTGTTTCCAGTTTGGGTCTATTATGAGTAAAGGTGCAATGAATGTTTTTGTACCAATCTTTCTATCTACAGGTGCTTGCATTTCTCTTGGGTAAATGCAGAGGAATGGAATTGCTGGGTCAAAGGGTCTGTTCAGTTTTGTAAGAAACGACCAGAACTTTTCCCACAGGGGCCATACTATTTTGCATTCTCACCAGTGATGTATGAGGATTCCAGTTGCTCTGCATCCTCAACATTCTGTTATTCTTTTTAAATTATTCTTTTTAAATTTTAGCCATTCTGGTGGACATGTAATGGTGCCATCTCATTGTGGTTTTAAATGGCACTTTTCTGATGTCGAATCATGTTGAAATATTTTTCATGTGATTATTGGCACATTTGTTTACCTTCCTATGTGGGTTACAAGTATTTTGTCAGATATATGTTCTGGATACAAGTATTTTGTCAGATATATGTTCTCTGAATATTTTCTCAATTTTCATATCACATCTTAAGATTGTATTCTGTGCCTTTTATTTTTTTTTCCTCCTCTATAGTTTTTGCTACCTGTCTGGGTCTGGTGTACGTATATGCCCGTCACCGGTACTTCTGGGGATATTCAGAAGCTGCTAATAAAAGGTAAGGAGATCCCAATAATTGTGTACTTATGCAAAAGTAGCAGGCTAAAATAAAAAAAAAAAAAGAAGAAAAAATAGAAAAAAAAAAGGAAGAAGAAGAAGAAGAAGAAGAAGAAGAAGAAAAAGTATCAGGCTGAAGTGCGGGTGAGCTTTCTGCTCCTGGGAGGAATTAATAGCACCGAGAGTTGTGGTGGCAAAAATGATCCATGCTGCCTGAGGCCAAGACTTGCCAGGCCACACACAAGTAGATGTGAGATGGGAAATCATGGGCATAAAACTGTGCACTGCTGCAGGCTCTCTAAATCCTTGCAAAACAATTGCATTGTCTCCAGAAGGTTACCACGGAAATACCCTGCCCAGCCTTGCCAGTCCTATCAATGTTCAAGGCCACGCACCTCCATGGCTGGGCAACCCCTTTCAATTTATATGATGAACCAAAATTTTCAAATGGCAAAAACACGGGGAGTTCTGGGTACTATGAGCAATGAGCAGCCCGTGTCGGGACTCCCGCCTTCCTCATCACAGCCCAGTCTGTCATTTCTCTCACTGTGTCCACCCTGCAGGATGACTGGTTTCCAGTTGAGTCTGGGGACTTTGGCCTTGTTGACTGTCCTAGGTGCCCTGGGAATTGCAAACCACTTTCTGGATGAATATCTAGACCTCAACATTGCCAAGAAACTGAGGCGGAGCATCTAACTTTTCTCTTCCCTTTACTTTAATGCTTGCAGCAGCTCTTTACACCCTGAAGGTAATATGGTGTGTCATTAGTTAAATAAATAAATAAATACATAAAAGTCTTTATTCTGTGTTTCTTGCAATGGCTTTGTAGAAAAACACCCGTTAGAGAATACATTTCCTGTTGAAGAACTGAGATTTGCTCGGGGTGGGTGTGTCCGTGTCACCAGTAGAAGCGTGTTGAGCCCTGGTCTTGGAAGCACATGCTGCTGAAGTCATGACCAGCCCCATGCGTGTGCTGGGCTTCCTGTGGGCCACCGACACGCCTGCCTCTGACACTGCTTCTCTCTCCGTGGAAAGCTCCAGACCGATGCTGACCAGGCAGTCGAGGCCCCTTCGTTGCCTGCAGGAAAGCAACAGATGGCTGCACATGGGGGAGATCAGGTAAACACTTAAGAGTATCCAGAGAAGGGAGTCATCCACTAATAGCACAGAATGAATCTGGCTGTGAAAATGTACTTCACAAAGAAAAAAAGGAAAAAGGAAAAAAAAATGTATCATTGCAAGGAACCACCGAGGGACCTGTGCTAAGTGGATATTCTCCCCTGGGCAGAGGAAGGAGGGTCCTGCTCGCGGCTGCAGGATCTGGGCTGGGTTTCCCCGCACACCCTGCGCCCCCTAGACTGTGGGCTGTGAGGCAGCTCTCGCTGCAGCAGAGCTGGGCGGCTCCGACTCCCACGTGCAGTCACCAGCCGGCACGACACTCTTCTTTGTCTCCTTCATCTGTAAAATGGGCATGACTCTACCTCACAGCCTTCAAAGACCTTAGGGAAATGGAATTAATGATGAGCACACACAACACATTTGAACATCAGGAAAAGAGCCCTCTGTCAGTTTTTCCAAAGAAAATTGGACAGCCTTGAATCTGGTGTGGGCATCGTCAAAAGCTGTTTAATGGGATTTTTCTTTCTTTTTTTGGAGACAGAGTCTCGCTTTGTTGCCCAGGCTAGAGTGAGTGCCATGGCGTCAGCCTAGCTCACAGCAACCTCAATCTCCTGGGCTCAATGGATCCTCCTGCCTCAGCCTCCCGAGTAGCTGGGACTACAGGCATGTGCCACCATGCCCGACCAATTTTTTCTATATATATTAGTTTGCCAATTAATTTTTTTCTATTTATAGTAGAGACAGGGTCTCGCTCTTGGGAGGGCTGGTTTCAAACTCCTGACCTCGAGCAATCCACCCATCTCGGCCTCCCAGAGTGCTAGGATTACAGGCGTGAGCCACCTCGCCTGGCCTGGACTTTTCTTTTTTATAAAGAAAGTTACAAAGGCTATGAGTAATGGAAAAATAAATAAAGATACTAAAACACTAGTGTTTCCAGAATACTAGGGTAAAAGACGTGACCTCCTGCATCCCAAATAGCAGAATGGTATTAAACGCCCCAAAGTACACTGGCCTGAGAACAGGGATGCCAGCTTGGGTTCTCCCACTTGTTGGCTGTTTGACTTTGGACAAGGCACCCCATCAATAAGAGGTCTGGGAGCAAGGCATGAAGACTCCAGAGTGAGACGACCTATCCTGTGCCATCCCTTGCTGGCTGTGCTACCCCAACACTTCGCAGCTCTCAGCCTCAGTTTTTTCTTAGGTAAAATGGGGCTAATACTCTGAAATGCTAGGATTATATGGTCTTTTTACTTAGTATTCTGACCAGTTATGATGGTGACTTGTATGATGGCATTTTAATTGTTTTATACATTAAAGATAATGATGGGGGAGTGCAAATTTTTGACCCTAAAGCATAATTATTGCATAATCATGTCATTTGGAAGTGGACTTGAAGATTTTTAAACATTTCTATTTTGTGCTTAAATTGACTCTAGGCAGTATAAACCACACACACCCCCCACACGGTTTGGTTAAACAACACGTGGAAAGAGCAGTGGGTGTATCAGGCTGTGAAAGCTTTGTAACTTTAAACATTAGAACCCTAGGTTTTATTTCCTTTGTTCTAATTCTATTGTCACCAGGCAACCTTTTGATTATTTGAATTCCTATTAGATTTTGGCTACAGGGAGCAAACATGTTGGACAGAGACATGTGAGTTTCTGATCAGTTTGAGAGTTACATATAAATTCTTTGTATATTAGTACATTGACCAGTTTCATTTTTAGAAGTTAAGATTCATTGCCTCAGAAAGTCAATGTCATGAAAAGAGGGATGGAGAAGAATTTTTCTATATTGAGACTCTTAAGAGGGATAGAAACCAAATGGCAATGTGAGATCCTTCATATAATCCTGGTTAGAAAAAAACATCTTTTGGAAGACATCTGTGAGATAACTGGGATGCTTTGAATATGAACAAGAATTAGATGATATCAGGGAATTAATGTCAATTGTGTGAGGTGTGTGTGCTAATGACATTGTGGCTAAGGGCCCTGATTTGGAGCTGTGTGCCGAGGCTTGGAGGGGTGAAGGGGTGGGATGCATAGCTTACTTTGAAATGGTTCTACAAAGTATATATTGAAACATTTATGGCAAAGTGTTAACAATGATTAAGTCTGCTGATAAATGAATAGGTATTCACTGCACTTTCTGCTTTCCCGGCCATCTGAAAGTGTTCATAATAAAAAGTGTAAAAATTCGAAGAAGAGAAGTTAAGACCTAAAATTGGATTCTGGGTAGCTCTGAAGATTGTTTTGTGTAGAGCACTGTAAGTTTGATTTGGGATCCAGGGGTACTGATGGATCCGCAGCTGGCCTGGTAGCTATTTTGCACGTGGGCAGGGCCACGGGCCCGCATGTGTGCAAACTGCAGTGATGACTTCCACGTGTCTGTCGCAGGAAATGAGGCAGGTCTCTATGGCAGCTCGTTCAGAGGACATTAGTGTGGGACGCTAATGTCCTTAGAACAAAAAACAAAAGGGAGTCAAGGAGAAAATCGAAGAGAAAAGAAGAGATGAAAAATCAAAAAGGGCCAGGCGCGGTGGCTCACGCCTGTAATCCTAGCACTCTGGGAGGCCGAGGCGGGCGGATTGCTCGAGGTCAGGAGTTCAAAACCAGCCTGAGCAAGAGCGAGACCCCATCTCTACTATGAATAGAAAGAAATTAATTGGCCAACTAATATATATAGAAAAAAATTAGCCGGGCATGGTGGCACATGCCTGTAGCCCCAGCTACTCGGGAGGCTGAGGCAGCAGGATCGCTTGAGCCCAGGAGTTTGAGGTTGCTGTGAGCTAGGCTGACGCCACGGCACTCACTCTAGCCTGGACAACAAAGCGAGACTCTGTCTCAAAAAAAAAAAAAAAAAAAAATCAAAAAGAACATAAAACAATAAAGAACTGGTTACCCAAAGTGGTAGCTCTGCTCCCTTCCCAGGTATTTTTCCTCCCCCACTTTTAGGGGTTGGAGGTAGGTGGGGTGTGGCCCAGGAAGCCATTAATAAAGAAAAATACCAGGTTATTTGCTTTACACCCTGTCTTTCCAGACTCAGTTTTCCTTGAAAAGAATAGTCAGAGGCAGAACCAGCTCAGTGAATGCTTTTGAATGTTCCTTAATTTGTCAGCAAGGTAATACTTCTTTCTCACTGGGGCAGAGCCTACCGACTTCCTAGACAGATGTGTATTCTCTTCTCCTTCCCCTGTCATGCACTTACTGCACTAGGATTTTTTAAAGGTAGGATTACACATAAGAACTTGTTTTAAAGGAGAAAGGTATTTCCTTCATTGAATACCAAACAAATTTTAGTATAAAAAATGTGACTTGAGTTAATCGGGGCTTGGAGGAGTAATCAACCCTTCTCAGTGCCTCATGTTTTCACGTCAGCCTCCCCCTGTGCCCTCCCTCCGGCCACCCATCTGGGATAGTGCTAAGTCCGCATTGTAGGGACAAAGCCCGTGCCACGTTGTTCTCCGCCATCCAGTCTGGAACCTCAGGGGTAGGGCTGGCCTCCTCTTCCACAGTCAAATTCATTCTCTTGGTTTGCAGATATTAAAACTCACTCTTGTTTTGGGCCTATTTTTGATGATGACTTTATTCTGTGGCCTATTTTCTGCTTAACCCAGTTTTGAAACACATTGTGTTACTAAGATTTCAACGTTGGATGGGGAGTCTTAGGTCAGGTCTCCTAAAAGTGGCGAGGTGAATTCACATGTATCTGACTTATTAACAAAGGGCTCTGGAGAGCAGAAAAGGGAAAGGGAGTGGGGGACACATGACAGAGAGGGGGAGGAAGCCAAGCCAGGGGGCCACTTTCAGCCAAGTCCTAGCCTCCCCCTGACCCTGCAGGGGAGCTCTGGAGAAAAAGTACATCTCAGAGTTTGTCCAGACAAGTTAACTGGGCCTTTCCACTCCTGCACCAGGGAAGTATTGGCTACAGCCGATCTGGAGGGGTACAAACTAAGCACTTTCAACTCTGTGGTGGGTGCAGGCATGGCCAGCTTTGGCAGCTGGAGTTGGGGCTGGTGGAGGGGAGAGGCGCTCCTGGGGGCGGGGTGTTTACTGACAGTGTCTGCCACAGTGGGGCAAGGCCCCTTTGTTGCTCCCTCTCAATACATTCCTTTTTATTTTTTTATTTTTGGAGACAGAGTCTCGCTCTGTTGCCCGGGCTAGAGTGCCATGGCATCAGCCTAGCTCACAGCAACCTCAAACTCCTGGGCTCAAGAGATCCTTCTGCCTCAGCCTCCCGAGTAGCTGGGACTACAGGCGAACACCACCACGCCCGGCTAATTTTTTCTATTTTTAGTAAAGACGGGGTCTCATTCTTGCTCAAGCTGGTCTCAAACTCCTGATTTCAAGCAATCCTCCTGCCTCAGCCTCCTAGAGCTTTAGGATTACAGGCGTGAGCCTCTGCGCCCAGCCCCAATATATTCCTTGATTTTTCTTTATCTTGCATAAGAATTTTACTATCATTTTTCCAAGTCCTCCAAATTGTGGGCCATTAGAAATTGAATTGTCATGGTACTGAATCTACAAAAGGACTACGGCATGTTCCTTGCAAAGCTGACTTTCCTCCCTTCTCTTTGCCATGGTCTTCAGATTGCTGCAGCAAATTTAGCAAGTTTCAGTTGCATGGTTGAATTCAAAAGACTAGGAATGATTGATCTCTCTACTAAATAAATGTCTAAATAGCGATACCAAAATTTTGAGAAAAGAACTGCAGTTAATCAGTTAAAGCCCAGGAAAAATATATCTGATTAAGGTTGGAGATGCAGTGAGGATCCTAAAATAAACTATACTTTGGTTGATTCAGATAATGATCTTTTATTTTTTTTTTCTTTAAAAGTGGTATGTCAACATCACTTCATTTCTACATTTCAGAGTTCTGTACATTTCTTCAAAGGAAATAAACAATGCTCAATGTACAAGGTAAAAACAGAAAACTAGAAAAATCTGAATAAAATGGAGCAAGTTGCCATAGGTCGTACGGTACAAATTAGTAGTTAGATGTCATCTGAAGTGCAATACCACTGCTGTGATGATGAGTTAAGGAATGAAATAAAAATACTCTATTTTAAACAAACAGTATATATATATTTATATGTATATTTTTTTTACAGATAGTAGACCCAGTGATATCTGCAGTATTGTAAAAACTTATGTACAAATAACTTTTTTTTTTAGACATTACATATACATCAGCACCGTAGTAAAAACAAAACAGAAACAAAACAACTTTATTAAAATCTACCTCTCTATTAGTTGGTCCCAGTACTGAGCATTTGCAGGAAGCTTTTAAAAGATACTGGAGCCCCTGCCTCTCTCCCCATCAGCCACCTCCAGTTTCTCACCATTGCTTATGTATTTATTTCCTATATCTTCCAGGAAAAGGTCTTGTGTATTCTGTGTCTTCTTGTCTGTTTCCTTTTTTTTTTTTTTGGTTTTTATCTGCTTCCTTACAGAGTTTCCCTGGTGGCATCCCTCCCCAGTTCAAGGAGTTTAGGGTCACCCTGCTGCCACCTGTTTGGAGAGGGGACATAGCCTCTGCCTGGGTGCTCACCCTCCTGGCATGCCTCACATCCTGCCCCTCGCTGAGCAGATCTAGAACCCTGGGTATGTGGAGAGCAAGTCAAGGGCTTTGTATGCCCTCCTGCCTCCTCCCCAAGCCCCTCGGCCCCAGCCTTCCACTGGAACTGGCATTGTCAGGACTGCCCAAGCGCACCCGTCCGGCCCTCGCACGCTCCAGCCCTGCCGCGTGAGCACGTGGCAGTGCACAGAAGGGAGCCGCTGTCTGGGACCCGGAGGCAGGAGGGGACAGGCCACTTTTACTTAGGACAACACTTGGGCCTATGGCTTCCAAGAGCGGGTGGTGGGAGGGGAGGCAAGGACCACAGAGACTAGCCCGGCTACAGAGGATACTGTCGATTCCTTCCGACAGTTTTCACTTAGGGCAGATGTGAGTGGGTTACAAAGAGAACGACTGTACAGAACTTTCGAAGTGGATAATTTTGCCCATAGGAAAGGAACCATATCTTCCCCCCCCGTTGATCATCCAGATTTGTAAGGTGGAGCAACTGATGTTTTAGCTCTTCCATCTGTTTTTATGTTTGCATTTCCAATGAGTAGAGATGATGGGCAAGGCTGATTTTAGAGCATCACCCCCGGAATTTTCCTGGAAGGAGCCGGAATCCCAGTGACCTCCAGGCCACTCCTGCCTGGGGACACCAGGAGCATCAGATGCGGCTCCTGTGAACTGACGCCCACACGTCAGAGCCACCCTCTGGGTTCCAGGCGGAGACATTCATTCAACTCCACACATGGAGAGAAAGAAAACGCCAGTGTTGCCTTTGCATTTCAGGCATTGTCTAAGTTCTTCTTGCATTTATTTGGACCCTGCCTAGGCTCCCGAAAGACAGAAGTGTCCCTTCTCCTTGGATTGTCTGTGAGGAGAAGCAAGGGCAGGCTGGGGTGGAGGCCAGGAGGAATCACGGCAGGGGTGGGGGACAAGGGCGGCCAGGCTGGCAGACACTCGGAAGCCAGCTGGGGTCTCTCCACCCTGGGGCCCCCGAAGCAGATGTGAACTACCTGCGAACACTGGTATTGCACCAGGCCCCCAGGAGGCTCCAGCCCGACCTGGAGTGATGCCACCACGGTCCCCAGCAGAAGGCGGCCCGCTGGACTGCCGGACTGCCCCTTCTCCAGACTCAGTTGGCTATCCCTGTGAGGCACCAGCTCATCACCAGCTCATTCCCAGGGGTCACCACGTGGCAGGACACAGACGGGCCAGCAGGACCCTTTGTCATCTCCCTGTGAGCATCTCGCTGTTTTTTGTGCCTACCCCCCAAATTCAGTAGCATGTCTTGAAGCCTTCCGCCTCTTTCCACCCAGGGTTCGGTGCATTCTGACCTGTGCACTTGGCCTGTGCCACCGCCCAGCAGCCTCTGTGGGGCCCTCCCTGGCTGAGGCTCTGCCTCTTCCGTGTCTCCAAAGCTGCAGTCTCCGGACCTGGGGCAGGAGGGGCTCCCGGACACTTCGCTTGGGCAACAGGCCCTCTTGGCTGGAGCAGCGCTGGCCGGTCAAGACCACCACAGGGAGGGCCGGGCAGGGGCTCCGGCTGGCTGCGTCTTGCCCTCCGGCCCATCCCGTGGCTCCCTCTCGCAGCAGGGATCTGCATGGCATCTCATCTTGGTTGCTGTGTGAAAATCAGGTGAAACGATGCCCAGCGGGACTGTGGATTGGCACCTGGATCTTCCACTGTCAGCCAGCTGCAGTTTTGCTCAGTTTACGTGGGTCAAAAAAACAAAAAACAAGGATGGGCCAACATCCCGTTTCTTTTTCACTGTTTAAGCTTTAACCACTAGGCTTGTGGCTCCCGGGGGCCCCTCTGGACTAGGGGTTACCAAACAATTCGTCAAGCTCCTGCATCCACTCGTCCCCTGGCCCGCCCTTGATGATGGAGTCCACGAGGTCCGCACTGTCCGGGAGGCCAGGGAAGGTAGCCCCGGCTCCTTCACCACTGTAATTGTACGACATGTCCTGAGGGGGGTTCCGCTCGTAGGCTTGGCTCTGGCTGCCGGGAGCAAAGCTGCCACTGGGCATCTGCGGCTGTGCCGGGGGCTGGTTGAATGCTGGCATGCCAGGGACACCCTGGCTCAGGCCAGACAGGACCATCGGCCTCGCCTGGCTGGTGCCTTGCTGCCCCGGGAGTGCTGGCATCATCTGCCGACCCATGGCAGCCGGGTTGAGTGTTCTCACGGCGCCTGTGTTGGCGTCCACGACTGACTGGCTCAGTCCCTGTGGGAAGTGCTGCTTGGTCAGTCTCGGCTGGCCAGCTTGAAGTGGGTAGCTGGCGCCATTGTTGAATGGTCCTAATTCTCCACTAGTCCTCCCAGGCATCCCCTGCAAGCTCCTCTGCTGCCAGCTTTGTGCTCCTTGCTGGACTGTTCCCATAATGCTCTGAAGCCTCGGAGGGGCTTGGGGCCTAGGCAAGGCCTGGCCCACTGGCCCCTTCATCTGCTGGTGCTGCTGGGTGATGGCCGAGTTCACCAGCATGCTCTGACTAAAACCACTCACCATTCCGACCCCTTGCCCAGAGGCAGGCTGCCTCGGTCCCTGGGCTTGGTTGTGTGTGATGCTCATGCCACTTTGGTTTGGGTGCTGCAACATTTGGGTCATTCCTGTGCTCATACTGTACATTCCTGGTTGGCTGGTAGGCGTGGTGCTATACGGGGCCAGTCCTATCTCTGACTGGGCTGCTGCTGTGCCCATTGTCCCCGGGTTCTGGGAGGCGCCCATGCCCATCATGCCTGTGTTCTGTGCCATCAACCGTGATGTTCGCATGCTCTGGAGGGCTGCTTGGCTTCTCACAGCTGCTATGTCCTGGGGAGAGCCTATGGGGAAAAAAAGGACACACACCACTTACTCTTCTCCATAAGCCATATACTGTGACAAGTTGTTTGAATTTTCTCTGGGAATGACACAATTCCTCTTTGTGAAAGGATCTACTCTGATAATAAATCTTTAATAAAAATGATTACTATTTTTCTAATTGTAACGCATAATTTTTTTTCTGATTGTGAAAAATTTGGAAAGTATTAAAAAGCACAAAGTCAAAAATTAAAGCCACCCAAATTTTACTATCCAGAGAGGACCACTGCTAACTATTCTTTTATTTATATATAAATAGACACACAAAAATGGGGATCATACTGTACATGTGTTTTTGTAGCTGACTTTCCGCTTAACACACCCTGATATTATTTTTGTTTATACTTCAGAAGCAAATTATTTCTCCCTCTTATGAGTAGGATGCCATCCTCAACCAATAAGATTCCATTTTCTTTGGAGGCGAGAGGAAATTCACCTCTTGAGCTAAATTAAGAAGAAACGGCTGGTCACTTTGCATATTCTATTTGTTGAAGTGGAACATGGCTCAGTAGAGAATACTATCAATAAAGTCCATTAGACTAATTTCCCTTAAGACTTGAGTAGGATTTGAGAGGTTAAAGGGCATTGCTTCTGCTAAGCAGCTATTCTGACAGATGGGACACATTTTGGATCCACTCTGTAGTTCCACATGCTCCAGATTCTCTGAATCATAACATGTCAGTACAAACTGGCCAGCTTCCTGAGATAGAAAAAGAAATCGTCCTGTTACTTGCTACTTGGCAATGAACTTTATGCATTTCTGCAGCGAAGTCCATTCCTTAGAATCGGCGATGATGACTTCTCTTGGCAGATTGTGAACACGGTTTTAATAATGCTGTTTAAAAGTTGGCCAGAGTATCAACGCCAAGTCATTCAACCTTAATTAGGCATTTGAGTGAGCCCTTCCTTATGTGTTCCCAGGAAATTTCCAACACCAGTCAATGTTGTAAAGGGCTAGGAGGCGCACAAAAATGAATTTTTCTATGTTCCTGCTCATGAGGAAGTCTATCAAAAAAAGAAAAAAAATATATATTTTTTTCCTGGACATTTAAAAAAGATGCGGCATGGGGGCCAATCGATATTATAAGCAAATTTGATCCCACCTGGAACTGTGATGAGAAACCAGATGAGAACACTCTAACCTTGTTAAACCTGGCACCTTGGCAGATAACTGAAGCATGTTTTTGTCTTCCTGATGGGGCTATTGATTTCTGGGCAGCAAATATGTCTCCATATTTTCTGCCTTTCTTTAAGAAAGAAAACTATGGGAATTTTGATTATGACTCAAGTTTTTGTGGCTTGAGATCAATAGCATGCCACATTGAAAAATGAAGTGAATGGTTTCTGTGGGGAAACCTGAAAGATCTTGGGGGGAATCCCTAGGAATGTTTCAATTCTTTGTTTTAAGCTTAATTATCTCTAAGTGGTTTTTTGAAAAATCAAAAGTTGCCAGTGACACACAGGATGGTAGTATATCCTGCAACTTGTAATCTGGTTATGAAGTTTTGTGACCTTAACAAATAAATGTGACCGACTGCATGGCCAATCAGATCAACTGTGGTGAAATGAGTTATTGAGTTGTTTATCAAGAAATTTAAGGGAAAAATATTGCTGACTCAGAGATGGATTGGATAGACCCAAAAAACATAAACAGGTTGCTGGAAATAGATCAAAGGACTTTCACAATTTAGACACTTTTTGGGTATATTTATAATGGATATGTCGAAGGACTGGATATTATCTGGACTAATTTTGTGAATAAGAAATAGGTTCCTTTCTTTAGAGAGCAGAAATGTTGTAATGCCCTTTAATAGGTAGTAAAACATTAAACTAAGCCAACCTTCATTTTTACTTAGTGTAAATGACTGCATTGTCTCGATATAGTTCTTATTTTAAAAGAGGCATTTTAAAACCACCCATCAGCACAATATTTTCAACCTAAGAGAAATAAAAAGCCTTTTATTAATCTAGTTTTATGCCTTCAGTAATTTTAAGTATATTAATACAACAGAAAAAAGTTCAAACATGTCCAAAGAATTAATTTATCTTTACCTGATTACTACATATATAACACAACAGACTACTTTTTCTTCTTCTTCTTTTTTTTTTTTTTGTCTAAAACAGATATTATTGTGAGACACTGTAGTCAAATCAATTTTTTTTGTCTGCTGGTTAACATCACAATGTCAAATAAAATCATCTACATTCAGAGATGTGACTTTTTCCTAAAAGAGTTTATATTCTGTTTTCACTCACAAGAAGCCTATATTTGTGAAAAATAAGCATTTCCCCATAGGCATTACCCAGAGACACAGAATTCAATGAGAGATAGATAGTCATTAAGACTTTTGAAATATATAGTGGTGAAAGTTTGGCATAGGTTCTCATCCAAGTTATTCATAACAGAACTTCTCTCCCAAAACAATATTCTTATATATCAGTTTGCTATCTCCCCAGTTGCATAACATCATGCTATCTAGGGTGTCAATAAAATATGAAAATACTGAAGATAGTAAAAAAAAAATGATTATATCTCAAACCAGTCAATCAGTTCAGGGAGCCTAAACTGTCATACTGGTTGTTTAACTTATATGTAGATAAATTTCTAGGTTGATTATCTGTGGTTTGGGGTTTCAGAAAAGTTCAAGGAATAGAACTTTTAAACCCAAAGCATTGAGAATAGCTCATATAAATATATGTCTGTGTTCTGTAATACACAGGAATTATTCAATTTTGGTGGGTCCTTTTTCCTCCCCAAATAACAAATGAGTTATCAACTAGAAAACTCAAGGGACACTATGCTGGGTTTATCAGATTTTCTATTTGGAATGAGTTCATAGTACAAAGCAGTGGTTCTCAAAGTGTGGTCCCCTAGCCAACAGAATCGGCAACTCTTGAGAACTTGTTAGAAATGCAAATTCTCAGGCTCCACTCCAGATGTACTAAATCAGAAACACTGGGGATGCGGTGGGGCTGTCTGTGTTTTAATAAGCCCTGCTGGTGATTCTGATACAGTCTAAAGTTTGAGAACTACAAGTATAAAGGAGGGCTCTGTATCTGCTAAGAAAACCTATGTATATAATGATGACTAATCCCCACTCTTCCCCACCCATGGCAAAGTGAGAAATGTAATTCTTCAAAGAATACTAGCACTGCTTTAGCGCACAGAACACCTGTGGACAGTTCAATTCCTTTTGTCCTTCCCTGTGTCAAGTCTGAAGGGATCTAATATGATATAAGTGTCCCAGGGCTGGAAGGGAGTGGTAGCTACTCGCAAGCCAGTATTTTCACAGGCAATCTTCAGTGAGATCTGTCAGTAAACATCAATGGCTTCCGGACTCTTTAAACCAAACTCACAGTCCATGGCCCAGGATATATACATGCAGGTTTACAACATAAACAAAGTTTTCCAACATGCTCTGATAATTTCTATTGTATTCCATTTAAGAAACGTTAATTGTGACCCATAAAATAGTTTTTATAACCTTGTGTGTTGCAACCTGAAGACTGAAAAATGCTCCCTAGTCAGGAATTTTTCACCCAGTCTATTGATAAACCTCGGGAGGGTAATATTTGCAATGATGTAAAAGTTTATATATATTTACATATATGCATAATTCTGTGCAAGGGGCTTCATAGCTTCCTGCAGATTCTTTTTTTTGAAGAAAGGAAAGAGAATTTTATTAATTTGCCGGGAAATGAGGAGGGTAGCAGACTCCCATCTTAAAGTACCAACATCTTCCTTCCTGCAGATGCTTAATGGCCAGGTAACTCTTGAGAAGTTAGGACATATTGATCTAGATCCCACAAAAGAGGCAGAGGACAGGAGTTAGATTTCTGCTATTAGGTGTCTTCTGCAGCCCCCTGAAAACTCCTGTGGCTAAGGCTTGGAATGCTCTTCCTCCACCCCACACAAGACCCTCAAGGGCTCTCTGTACTGGAAATGAGAGGGCTTGATATTTGTGTGGGCTTTCCACATTTACAAAGGAGTGACAACGTGACATACAGTGTGTCCACTGCTGCTGGGGTCCTGATTTGGGATTTCTGCAAATGGTGCAGGATCAGGACAGTCCAATCATCTTGAAGGCCCTATTTGTCTTCTACATTCAGCAGAGATTAGCAGTTGCTGTAAGCCAGATTTGTCTACTCTGGCTGTTAGAAGTGAGGGCTTTGGTCAGCTGACCTGTCAGGATTAACAAGAAGGATGTGGTATACAGGATTTTTGCCCCTATGGTCACTAAGACGACAATCTAAATATAAACAAGGTTGATAGTGGGCCAAGACACTGGTATGTCCCTACTGGTTGTTAAACTACTGAAACACTCTGTACCTTTGGTAAAGCACAGCTACCCTGATCCTTCCCTGGCCCCACTAGGACCTCTTGGTGACCCAGTGACCCAAAGGTTAATGACTGGCACAACAGGAGGCTTCCAGGAACCCATTCTGATTGGTTGAGACTCTTTTCCCACCAGTTAAATACTTTGAGTATTACCTGGACACAAATACAGCACGTCCAGCAATGCCCCTGGCTACACACTCACTCACACTTCGCAAGTGGAAGGTATAAATGCAAGAGCTTTGCTCTGGCCTCACCTTGAAACTGATTGACCTGCTGCACCGGGTACGGATTCCGCTGTTGCTGGAGGTGCTGCCGGGGTAAGTGTGATTGCTGCAACTGCTGGGAAGAGGACAAGAGGGGTGGGGCGTGAGATGGGGAGAGAGCAAGCAGTTAAATATCCTGGCAGTTCTGAGGAAGGCAGGCTTTGTTCCCTTCCACACCAAAATTCAACTTTGTGTCAAAGAATAACATGCATACAGGCAAGTGCACAAAGTCTAAGTACACAGTTGATGGATTTTCACAAAATGAACACACTCCAGGCAGCTAGAACGGAACATGGCCAGGAACGCCTCACTCAGGCCCCTTCCAGCTATCACCCTCCCTTGGCCCAGGGGCACCGCTGTCCTGACTTCAGCAACACGGATGGGTCACATCCGTGTCTGTACTGTATAGAAAAGGATTCACACAGTGCTGCTTTTGTGTCTGGCTTCTTGTGCTCGGCACTGTATGTGACATTCAGCCACACTGATGTGTACACTTGCTGGTTCCTTCTCACTGCTGAATGGTATTCCGTTGTATGAACATACCACGATTTATTCACCCATTCTACCAGTGACTGCCATTTAGGGTGTTTCTGGATTTTGGCTGTTACAAATACGGCTGCTATGAACATGCCTGCACTGGCCTTTTGGTGAACATCTACTTGTGTTTCTGCCGTGTGACTTGAGGCTCTTGAGGAATGCATACCGAGGGAGGGAGGAAGTTCTGACTTGGACTTCCAACATCAATGCTTTCCTTAGCACTGTGGGGACCAAGCTCAAAGGGACAAGCAAGTACCTTTTAATGACCTAAGTAGATGCTTTGGGCATAGAACGATGGAATCCTCAGAGGCCATAAAAAAGGCCAACATTATTCCCATGAAGCCACATTGCCTGTAAAATACATTTCTACAAGTAAACTACTCAGCATTGAGGAAACCACGTGGGATTCCACATATACCAGGAGGCCTGCGATTTACTCTTTCTTCTCCCGCTTACGGGGATTCTGCACCATTAGCCTTGCTACCAGTATACCGGGAAGGCTATTATCATTATCATGCTATATATGTGCAAAGGGAAAGAAAATAAGAGTGAGGTGGAAAGAGCAGAGGAAGAGGTTTTAGTTCTAGGTCTGCCGTCAAGTAGCTGCGTGACCTTCGGGATGTCGTTTAACCTGCTTCCTGCAGCTGCTGAATATTCATTAAGCACCTTTCATCCGCAAGGGCTATAAAGAACATACAACAAGGTCCCTGCTCTTTAGAGTGTTCATTATAAAAATAACACACATTGACCACTTCTTAATGCATATGTTTATTTCTATTTTTTTCTCTTGTGTTTGTTCCTGGGCAGCTCTATAATTATCTTTTTCTTTTTTTCTTTTTCTCTACAAGGCCAACCAGCATTCTGGCAACCAACAGAAAAAAAAAAAACAAAAAAAAAACAGCTTCTACTCTGTTGAGTCCATCCTGTGATGCCTACCATGTGTTCTGCAGAAAGCTGTTGAAATTGACTGCATAGACCATTAAAGTGTAGACAAGAAACCACGCAAATCTTTGAGGTAGCAATATGAGGGCGTTATTGAGAGTAATCCAAGCATTTAAAAGCTTCTCTTCAGTCAAACTTCCCATAGTGTATAAGAATAGATCTGCCCCACTTACAAGTAGAAATGAGCCCGGGGTAGCTCATGGGGTGGTTGAGGGTGTGGCCTGGAGTCAGGAGTCCCCGGTTCTATCCCGTTCCCGCCTCTCTCTAGTTCTGTGGTCTCAGATAAATCATCACATAAGCTCTGTGGCCTTAGTTTCCTCATTGGTAAAATGACTTCATGATCTGGAATGTTCCTTTCAGATCTAAAACTCTCAGTTCTGTGGAACCTTTGTGCATGGGTGAGAGGTGATATGCTCCACACTCTCTGAGAATAAGGCATTAAAGATTAATTCACACCTGCTTCCAACCTGCTCGCTCTGATTTCCAAGTCTACTGAGAATCATTTTAAAGTTCCCAAAGATATGCAGATCCCCAAACCTGTTTTCTCTCACATGTCCTTTCAGGAAACCCAATATGCTGTTTCCAAAATTGAAAGTGTTAGGACATTTTAGGACATGTTAGGACATTTTCCATGTCAGGGACCAAGATCATCAGCTTGGTGTTGATATGGCAATATTCACTCTCCAAACACAAAGCTGAGAGCTTCCCACTTCCAGACCCCTAGGTTAACCTGCACGGATAAGCACCATTTGCAGGTGCAGGTAAGATGCGACATCTACTTGGCTGCAGTTCCTACACAACACTCCCTGACACCAGGGTCATGTGACAGGTCCCCAGATACGTTGTGCAGAGAGTACAGCTTCCAAAGAATTTTATGCACGTTACCTCCTGTGATCCTTAAAACAGCGATGTGAGGAAAATTGTTAAAACCTAATCTTGCAGATGAAGAGGGAGGTTGGGTGATTTTTCCAAAATCACATCACAAGAATGGCCAAATTCTGTCCCTGAGAAAAGTGATCTTACCCTGGTTCCTCATCATCTCTTAGTACACTCCATTGCTAAGAGATTACATTCAGGTCATGGCTTCCCATTGCCCCCACCTCTTACAAGAAGCCCTATATCTCTTGGTGTTCTGGATTGAGGGGTCTCACCCTATCTCTCACCTGCCTCCGGGCATCATTTTGATGCTTCTGGTCTCACCCTCCTCCCCCTCCCCCCTGGCTCCCCAGGGTGGGGCTCGCCTTGCCCTGTGGGAACATCCGGGGCTGGCCCAGCTGAGTTCTGCCTGATTCCCCTGACTTCCCTTTGTGCCTTGGCCACAGCACACATATCAGAAATCATCACTCAGAAATATCAGGCACACCTGAAATTTCCTGGGGCTTGGCTGGGGAGATGATTTACAGAGCCCAGCTGCCCGAGGCAGCCCCATTTATCACTGCCTCCGAGAGATTAGCATGATTCCTTGTCGCACACCTTTTGCAGGTGAGAAGGATAGAGGTTTGTTTGTACAATAGCTGCCAGGCGGCTGACTGACCTTGGTAAAAAGGGAGATAATTACACAGCTGTTCAGGAACAAAAGCGAAAAAGGGAACACAAGCGAATTGTGCTCAACAGTACCATTTTTCTCTTTGGGGGATGACTGGTGTTACTTTGAACTGCTGTTCTTGGTTAGTGGGGACCTCGACGTGCCTGTGTCCTGCACAGTATCTTGCATCCATGTGGCGGTGGACGCTTGGCAAATTTCCAAAATTATGATCCTATTAGAATAACGGCGACGCAGAGCTATGTTGGGCTTTGAGCCTTGTATGACAACCTCATCCCTCCCGTAACAGAGAGGCTGCCGTGTGAGGTCCCCCCGCAGACCCCACAGGAGCTGTCTAGGGATCTCTTGTGGACAGCCTCAGGCCTTTCCCCGGGATAATACCAAATCAGGCGTGGGCATCTCTGAAAACAAAACAAATCGAAACCTACAGGAGCAGTCCGCAGGGAGGGCTTTCTTTTAAAGCCGGAGGAATTACACGGCAAGGGTGGACAAAGATGCCTAAGGTAAAGCTGTATTTGTGTTCGGCCTTCCTTTAACACACAGATTTCCTAAGCTGTTCTAAAAAGCTGTTGGGAATTTTCTTAAGTTTGCACCCTCTTCTGTGACCCTGGGTTCAGGTTTCCAGGTAGTTCTGTGGGCCCTATTGTTCGGCTATTGTTCCCGGTCCATTGTTCATGACCAAGTCTATAGAATTCTCCTCAATCCCTCCTCCTGTCACTTTCCTCCAAGACACGGAGTTCTCTGAATTGCACTTTTTGCTTCCCACTAGAAATATTAGGGCTTATGAAGAATGTGAGACAGTCCCCACCCCCATCCCCGCACGCCCCTGTGCTGATTACACAGACCCCTGCAGCAGAAATCAGAAGGAAAGGAGTCAGGCTTGCACCAGAGAAATGTCTCTGGCAAATGAGCCTTCAAACCGATGGCTGAAGCCTGTCTTTTAAGAACAAACTAATTCATTACAGGAAAAAAACCTAGCGAGTGGAAAGGTCTAAATTCTGCAGGTTCTTTTCTGATCCTGGGAAATGCTAGACTGTGAGCATCTTGGTGGAGGACGGGTGAACCACGACTCCCTCCCAGACAGCAGGTGCTCAATAAATGCTGGCTGAAGGAGCCAATCGCGCCAAGGGGCGTGTTACCTGCTCGGCCAGAATCTGCTGCTGCTGCTGCTGTTGCTGCTGTTGCTGCTGCCTTTGCTCCCGCAGGAACTGCTGCTTCTGCTGCTCCATCAACTGGGCCCGCTGATCCATGAGCATCTGTTTCATGATGGCGGCCTGGGGCTGGCTGCCCAGGAAGCCGGGGCCCGAGGGACTGGCTCCGGAGACCATGCCCCCCGAGCCTGGCGGCACAGAAGACTGCATGGGGCCTGTGGTCCGGGGAAGCCCGACCGGGTGCTGCTCCTGGGAGGACAAGAAGAGAGAGCCATGTAGTGATTCCCCATGGAGACCCGTTGCCGTTGCCGGTTAAGGGAAGGCCCTGCAGGGGGGAGGGATGGGGCAGAGGTCCCAGCCTGTGCACCCAAGGGGTTCTGAGTGGCACATATCACATTTCCATAGCAACAGCCTCACACCTGGCCGTAAACCTGAGGAGAATTGGAGAGGCTATAAGAGGCCAGTGACAGCATGGCTCCGGGAAATCTGAGGCCAAGTCCAGTTTGTTTGGGATGGGACAGATGAATGGATGGATGTGGACAGGGTTGTCGACCAACATCTGTGTTCCTCCAAAGAAAGCGAATAAGCCCTCAGGCTGAGCTCACCTTAAGTCTGGAATGCGAGAGACATCCTGACCTTACCTGTTAATCCTTATTCCTTACAGTCTACTTGGCCCAAACAGACGTCTTCTTAGCAAGTAAGAGAGACGTTTACAGAAGACTGCTGGAATTTATTAATCAACACATCTGACACGTGATGGAATTCTAATTAATTGCAACATTTGAGAACTCTATGTGCTTTAAAAAATCCTGATGGTCAGAGTTGTTGATGGTGAGCATTGGGAATGTTTTACACTGACTGATGCTAGGTCATCTCCCAACATCTTTAAAAATAAAATTGAGTCTCATATGTCTGGGACAATTTATATGTAGAGGTTTGGATTGAGTTTCTTGATTCTATTAATATGTGTCAGTCAGTCAAATGAAGGCAACTTTTAAGGGTTGGTCCTTAGGGAACAGGAGGTAAAGTGTCAAAGACTTAATCCCACACAGCTCAAATAACTTGTTGGAGAATGTGCTCAGAGGGGAAGTCTGTGCTCAGAGCCAGTGTGGACTATTAGGGAAAAAAGGCTGATGGCAACAGTAGGTGTGTGACCATAAAGATTCAGTTTCTAGATGCCTCCATTCCTGTTCTATCAAGCACACCTGGCAGTGGCAGGTATTGTCTGAACATCCTGCAGAAATATTCCTTCTAACTCATTAACATTTCAAGCAATTAATTTGAACATAGAGGAGTTGACATCAATTAAATGGGCACACATATAAGGACATACATAGTCATTTTGTTAGTCACTATTATGAGACTTAACTAAGAATTGAATGTGAATAACTATAATTATTTAAAAAAATTTTTAATCCAAACTAGATTTTAATATTTATCTTTTCTTTTGCTTTGCTACCTTTTCAATATAGACATTGTCAAACATGCTGGCAGTTTCCTCTCAAAGCATATCGTCGGAGTTTCTCTCTGTTTCTCCTAGAGAGACAGTCTTGGGTTTGATTCCCCACAGCCTGGGCTATGGCCCTCTCTTCCCTCTATCGTCTATGCAACTAGGAGTTACTTGAAATGCATCTTCAGTTGTTCTTCTTCCCTCCATCTACCCAAACAAAACAAAACAAGCAAAACAAACAACCCCAAACAAAACAATATTCCTCTCACTCCAGAAAGCAAAAAAGCTGAAGAAGTGCTGGTTAGTTACTTCAGTAGCTCAGGCCCTACAGCTAGTAACTGAAAGATCCATAACCCACAGGATGAGAATGCTAATTTTGATTCTAAATTCAGAATCCCTTCCACTAGCTCAGGCCTTTCCCAGAACCATGGGTTCATGGTGCCAAGTGTGCACCTGAATTACCTGTAGACTAAATATATACCGTGTCTCTCATAAATGCACTGTGTTCTATTTTTTATATGTAAGTGCTGTAGTTCAAGTTAATGAAAGTTTTTGTCTTTGTATTTTCTCTGCAAATGGACAATTATTAGGGAGAAAGCTATGTGTATATTGTGTTTTTTTTTTAATTTTGAGACAGGGGTATCACTCTGTTGCTCAAACTGGAGTGCAGTGGGCATGATCATAGCTCACTGCAGCCTCAAACTACTGGCCTCAAATGGGCCTCCCATCTTAGCCTCCCAAAGTGCTAAGAGTACAAGCGTGAACCACCACACCCCACCTGAAATATTTTTGTTGTTAATAAAAAGATCTTAAAAATGCCAGAAACCTTTATGCTACCCAAAAGTTTACTTTATGACTGACCCTGCAGAGGTCTAGATATTTCAGGGTCTTCCCCCTTCCCCCAAATACCTGCTACCTGTTTCCCAAGCCCTTCGTTCCAATGGGATAAAGCTGTTTCTTGCCACCTTTAGAGACAAGTGGCTGATTTGACTTTACGCTTTAACAAACGGATTCTCACTGAAATATAAATAGCCAATTAGCAAAAATACAGGTAGTTTTTTTTTTTTTTTTCTGTGTATCTCAGTCTCTTTGATACTTTCCAGTTTTGATAAGGAGAAAGAGAGTTGGAAAGAAAATGGGACCCAAGGGAAGATGAAGTGTTGTTCTTCAGCTTGATTTTCTGAGAGGACTGGTCTGGGCTGGCCGTGTTTATCTTTGTGTATTTTGAGATATTCTCTTCCTATGTGACCAGCCCTGTACCGATGGGGAGTGTGTGCCGAAGTGTAAGCAGCCGAGGTGTTGCTTTCCAAGCCTTCTCTCCACCAGGGCAAGAAAGGGAGAGGCAAATGGGGTGATGATTGATGATACATCAAACCACTTTTTGCCCCTGTCTTCCTGGGACAAAAAGAAATACTTCAAAGGCACAGTGTGAAAAAAAAAACCCTTCCAAAGGGACATTCAGTTTATTACTTCCCAGGATTATATATTTCCCCAAATGATTCCCTCCCCATCTTTAGTACTTTCCAACAAGCACTGCCGCATGGAACAGTGGGGGAGAGACAGCCCCAGCCCCAGGTGTGGATTCCGAAGTGTGAGGCTGCACCAAGTGACTTGCCTTACAAATGCAGCTGGTGGAGGCCACTGTGCCATATTACAAGGCTTCTTTTAACCTCCGGTCTATGAGAGCTTGATGAGAAATACTCTGTCAAATTTCAGGATTGCAAGCCACCACTCTCGATTCTAAGAAGGACACACACTGCGTTGTGCAATTAGAGAAAACCAGGCTGAGCTTTCGCCATGCGAAATGTAATGCCTTGGAGCCAAATGATGCAGTATTTTTAGTTTTAATTACTGGTTTGTTCTCCACTCCACTCCCTTCCCAACGACCTCCCTTGCTTTCTACCGAGAATCTTAATACAGTCTCTTCCCCTCAAAAATCCTATTGGCTTCATAGCTCTTCATTACTCTCCAAACCCTCTCACTCTTCAGTAAAATAAAGGGAGGAAAAAGAAATCAAAACCAAGGAACCTATTTTACATATCTTCCCCTCCAGGGAAAAGATTTCAGCAATTTTCTAAAGGCTAGAGTGAGGTGGGAGGTGTAAAAAAAACACCCTTACCTCGCCCAAAGAGGCAGTTTTTGACTTCGAAAAACAGCTGTGATAAAAATATCCCCCAAGAACAGCCAGCTGTGTATTTATAAATCTGTGAGTAGGGAAGCTTTATTTCTCTGAAGTGTTTTCAAGAACGTGCATAGTGTTTGGGTGAGAGGGGCTGGGGGTGCTGGCTGCGAACCAAAGGCTGCAGGCTTCTGGGAGTCGGGGTGGGGTGGGGGTGTCACAAAAGGCTGCTGCCGGCGATGACACTGGGGTGACAGGGACTTTGTAGTCAACTGGCTTGAGGATGCCCAGGGCTTCAGCCTTTTGCAGGCGTTGCTCGCGGTGGGGGCAGCGAGGAGCAGCTGCTGTTCCCGCTCTGCCCCAGCAGATGGTGGTGTCAGCCCGGCGCTCGCGCGGGCAGGCCGCCCCGCCGCCGCGCCCCTCCCCTCGCAGATGGCTTAATCATGACTCGCGTCCCTCCCCCGGCGCGTCCCCCGCCCCGCGCGTCTGGGCCCGCGCCGCGGACGTGGAGCCAGGCAGTCAAGTGTTGCCGCGTACAGCAGGTAGCCTGGCAACTGAGAGCATAATACCGAGCAGATGGTGTTCGCACGGCGTGATGGACATCACACACGACAGCCTGAGACAATCCAGGAATTCCCTGGTGACTCGAGGCCCTCTTTGCACAAAATGAGCTCTCTCTCCACTGCCGTGTATCTCTGGGGCTCTCTCCCCCCCTCTCTCCCACCGACACCGAACTGGTTTCTTATTACCGACTTTTCTCCCAGCCCGCGGGGAGGGCGCGTCCGGGTGGGGGAGGGCGCGGGAAGAGGACGCGGGAGGAAACGGAAGGGCCGGGGGCGGGCGGCGGTGGCGGCCGCAGCGGGGCGGAGGGTGGCGTGCGGCAGCCCCGGGGGCTGACGGCGCGAGGGGACGCGGCTCCCCGAACCCCGGCCGCACAAAGCCGGCGCGGGGCGGGGCCGCGGAGCGGCGGCCTCGGGTCCGCCAAGGCTCTGCGATCGCTCGGCCTACGAGCCGCCTAAATGAAATTTAGGATTTTAGCTGAAAAGCCCTCTGGGGCCTACTTTAGCCTCTCGACTGGAGCCTGTGTGCTTACCAGTCCTTAGGGGCTGCGACTGAGCGGCCAGGAGCGGGCCCGTGCGCTCCTCCGCGCGGGCGGCCCTAACAAAGAGGCCGGCGCGGCGGTCGCGGGCGCGGCGGGGCCGAGCGGACCCCCGGGGGCCCTGGAGGTCCGTGGCCCGCGCGCTGCTGGGAGCCCGGGGGCTGCGGCGCGCGCATGTCCCAGCCCCCGCCACCCGCTGTGTGCCGGTGGCCACTTAGGGCATGGGGACCCGGACGAGGGTGGTTGGTGGTAGATCAAAGATAAATCAGCGCTTATCAATAAATCATGCCCCAGAAAACAAATCTGTGCTTTTCACCCTCATGCTGAACTCTGGGTCAAGTCATATTTAAAAAATTAAGTGAATCTTTAGCCCAAACGCAATGTCGACTACGTTCCATATATCAAAAGTCTTCTAACGCGCAACCTATGACAGTATCCAGAGGCTTTCCTGCTGCAAAGATACTACTTTGCAAAGGTACTACTCAAGTGTTAAGTTTCAGAAGGCGGAAGTCTATCAAAGGTGAAAGCTAACATCACCCTGGCCGGGCAAGAGTTCAGCAATTTCACATGAGTGAGCACCA